TTCTGTCTTCCCAAGCATCTCCTGGGAGGAACGCTAGCAACTTGTGATGTCACTGCAGCTACAGAAGTCTTTCATTGACATGGAGTCTCTCACAGTGATTCCAGGTTGCAGAAAAGACAACAGATGCCTTGCTGCTCTTCCTTCTCTGTTACAATTCAGATTTAGCCCAAATGATAACTTCAGTTCCTACCTCCGCATACAATGTCCCAATGAATACCATGAGAATTTCCTAGTTTGGGGGAGTTTCAGAGCATTCTGAACAGGACCAGGAGAACAGTAAGAAATCAGAATTTCTTTGTGCTACAATTAAAAAGAAGATCTGAGCAGCTGAATAGTCCCTGGAGTTATGGTATTTTCTTCAAAACCATTGATATTACAAACTGAATTTATAGAAAATTGACAACCAATCTAACTTCAGTGATCCACCAGAAAGTGTAGCATAAAGCCAGGAATCAGAGCATAAGTACCACAGGAGATACTATTGGTAGTGCTCAGGTGTGGATAACACAAAACCATAACATGAAAAACATTAAAAAAAAGCTTGAGAGAGAAGGTTTGGGGGCCTCTTACCTGTGATCCTATTGGAAATGCTAAATAGCCTTGATGTCCTATGCCGCTGAACAAAAGACTCGCGGTAATAGCGATCCCCAAAGCACATTCCTAGCAGTTCCTTGCGCACTGTTTTGTTCCACAGTCCATAAATCAGTGGATGGCAAATGGCGCTTGAAAACGATAACCACGTAGCTAATGTCTCCCAGGCAGGAGAAATACTGTTCTTTCCCCAGAGTGCCTCTGATGTAATTACTACCATGTAAGGTCCCCAGGTAATCACAAAAGCCCCGATGACAACCAAGATGGTTATGAAAGCTTTGCACTGGTTGGCAGAGTAGACAACTCCCTGGAAGGCATTCCTCCGGCTGCCGGAAGAGGACGTGGAGGTGCTGGAGTTCTTCCTCCCATTCCTCTGTGAGTCTTCCTCCACAATAACCACGCTACCACAGTGGATTTTGCGGGCTTTAATCCTAGCCACGCGGAATATGAATCCATAGCAGATCATCATGACGACGAAAGGCAGCAATGCGCACCAGATCTGCCAAAAGGCAGTGTAGGCAGCCTCTTTGTGCCAGGCTGCCACGCACATCCACTTGAACTGGTCAAACTCCAACGACGACCAGCCGAAGAGGGGAGGGAGACAGCCAATAAGGGAATGCAGCCACACATACACGAGGGCTACCACTGCTCTGTTGCCTGTAATCTTCATTGGGTAAACCATCGGGTACAGCACAGCATAGTACCTGGTGGACGAAAAGGAAGAGTCAGCAGCAGCACAGAAAACGTACAGTGAGAAAGGCACACGTTTCATTGATATTGGTATCTAGTCACCTTTGTGCAACGAGCTCTTTTCTCAAAACCTTAAACTGGGCCCAAGGACTTCACAGAATCACAGACTGGTTG